ATCCAAAATTTTACATGGAGGGGCAAGTGCATGACATAATATCCAAATCGTACAATCTTATCCCCCCAAAAAGGCTGCCCTTCCCTTTGGAATTTTGGAACATCCAAGCTAACATTTCATAATAAAGGTTGCTTACCATCCTCCAATTGTTGCTTGAGCTTCTCTATTTCCTCCTGGTACTGTCTTAGCAGGGCATCCTTAGGGTCTTCGTTGATCTTGGCCTTGTTCTTGATGTTCTTAGCCCTGTTGGCATATCTTAACGTGCTGATGGTTTCATCAAAGTTATAGTCTGCTGGGCCAGCATTTGCAACCTGGAAGGGTGGGGGATAATTGTTAGTTGTTAGAATATGGCAACTTGTAATTGTTCCTATAAAAATAATACTAGTACCCTGTATGTATGAAATATGTGTGATTTATTAGGCCTTTATCTTTTTTATATATTTTGTCTGACCCTTACCTCTTCCCTCATGATCTCAAAGAAAAGTGGCCTGCAGGCTAAAATGAATTTCTCATGAGTAAGGAATGGTTGAAACAAAAAATGATTAGAAATTCTAAGTTTCCAATGGATTCCTCTTATTTCCTTACCATCACAGTCTTGGAATTCCCTCCTAATGAATCCTGCAGTAGTCTGGTGAGTTTGGAGTTCCTGTATGGAATATGGGTGCTCTTTCCGTCCACCAGGGCTGATATAACATTCCCCAGGGTGGACAGGGACAGGTTGATCTTTGTGGCCTCTTTCAGCCGCTGGCCGGTCGCTCCTGTCTTGCTCTGACGTTCTGAGCCCTAGAAACACAACAGCCATTTAAATCCATGCAGTTTGATAGGAAGCTGCTAGGAGGATCATTTCAAAATCTAATCATATCTTACTAAGGACATATGGGCCTACCTACATATTAAATGAAAAATCCACCAAAGACAAGATTTTTTAACCAAGTCTAAGAACCAATGCTAGCCAAACATTAAGCTACAGTACGTTGTTTTCACAGACGGAGGCAATATGAACAATTTCATTCTTTGATAATTTATAAGGAATGAAAGGTACACTTTCTACAGGTACATAAATTGTTAAAGTCACTAAATATGTAATTGAAACAGGATAGCTGTTCAAATAAACTACATTGTATGCCCTTAATGAAAAAAAAAAGAAAAACAAAGTCCAGCTTACAGCTAAATCCACCAGATGAAGTTTTCCGACTCTGACATGGTCCTTCCCATCCAGTCCTTTCTCACTCTGCTCCACAACAATGGTGAAGATAGCATGGGAACGAGAGCTGTGCTCATTCATGTTGGTGGCTCCTACCGACCCTGGACAAGAGATCACAAACATATACAACCAACATTTCAAACACACTGGACAGTTTGAGTAGCCCATTACATCAATTTGCTCAGTCTTAAACAGTTTCTAGCATTTTTATCTAGCATAATAATTGAACATACTAGTAGTACAGGATCTGACAACAGTTTAAGATTTCTGAAGTAATTGTAATAATTTTGATAGAGCTTACTGTTTTTGTCCCCTAATGTCATGACTCTGTCC